TGCTGTCGCTGTAATGCTGTGGTGGTCTCCTGCATGTGAGCGAGACGTTGGAGGGCCTGACCCAGCGGGGTTTCTCCTTCCGACATCAGGTCCCTGTTCAGGCGCCACTGTGAGCCTCTCCGCTCACTCAGGGTTCAAATAGGTACGGAAAGAGCAGGTTGGTGGAACACAGGCGTTTATTAACTCCAAACAAAAATATGCGCGGGTCTCAAACGTTGCCCGGGTGGGAAACTTCACAGGTCCTTTGGCGACCTTCCAGGATCCCGCCTACTGCATAACAGAACAGAACCAGGTTACGACATGCTTTTCTTCCCGCACTGATTACCTGATTCCGATCAGCTGTCTGGCCTCCGGCCGAGCCACTCCCTTCACTCCAGCAGCCACCGCCCAAACCACACCCCGCTGCCACACTTTGTCTTTAGCAGGTCTATGGAAAAAAACTGCAAGTTCTTTAGAAAGCTGCTGCTAAATTGTACTAGTACCAATAGTACAATACATGACCCCAGTTCTCAGAGATTTGCAACACCTCCAAACAATTAAATAAAATATATGTTTTTTACAAAATAATTCTGAATGGTTTGGGGCCAAAATACATGTCCGATATGCCCCTCTGCTACGAGTCATAGGTCATCTGTGACCGGCTCACTCATTGTCCCCAGGGTCCGAACAACACATGTGGCAGTTGCTTTTAGTTTTTATGCTCCAAAGATCTGGAATATTTTCAAAAACACCTGAGGTCTGCCCCTACCATATAACATGAGTTCATATAAACCGAGACTTAAAACGTTTTCTTTACCACTGCTTTTCCCGAGGTCATTTAAAGTTGTTTTATTATTATACTTCTGCATGTCTTAAATCTTTTAAATCTAACTTATCTGCAATGTTTATTTCTTGTTCTCCGTTGCACTTGTTTTGTGTGTAATGCTTGCACTTTAAATTTCCTTTTGTCTAAATGTTTCTGTACCTAAAGTTAATAAAAATAGCCTACAGTATAGCCAGAATACTGGGTTCCCAACACTATACCTTCAGGCACCCCTACCTGCATGTTTTTTTAGCTCTCTCTGCTCTTAAACACATGAATGTCCCTGATAAAACAGTACGGGATGTTGATTTACATTACGTGTGTTTAAAACATAATGCGATGATGTAAGTATTACTTTTGTGGATTCATTTTCCATCGCTTGGCCCCACAGTTGCCTGTTATGGATTCAGTTGATGGAGAATACGTTTAAAACACAGACAGCTGTAAGGATCTACAGTCTGCCTCCTTCTTTTCCCCTTCCGTGTTTGTTTTCATCTGTCTGTCTTCCTGGCTGGGCGTGGCTGACCTAATTCCGATTCCCGCCAACTCACCTCCTCAGCTGCTGCTCATCTCTCTGATTACAACTACTCACCTACACCCAGTGGCGTTTTTAAATGTACAAAAGTGGTGGGGCACAAAAAACTTAGATGTCTATACAAGCAGTGAGGTTCATGGCTGGTGAGGCACTGGCACTGACTCTTCAGGCTTACAAATATTATATTTTGACCTAAATCAAAATATAATATTATTTTCAAAAGCTTTTTTTGTCTGATGCTTCGATTAATTTTAAACAGACAGTTCAACAAAAGGATACCCAAAAAATGTAATTTTATCATTTAAATATTGAATTGTTCTCTCTTAGTAAGATCCCATTTTCAATAAAATTGGCGGTCTTACCTTGACTTGAAGATGAAATCCATTTGCCTGTCCTTCTGGACAAAAATCTCTATTACTTTTTTGTAAAGTCCTCCTTATCTTCTTGTAGTTTCAAAAGTCTATCATAAATCTAATCGATAGATTTATGACTCGAAAATTATAAAAGTAGGGTAGACATGTGGATATTATCCGGCTGAACAAAACGTGTGTTTATCTAACAGGTACGTTTCCCACAGATCTTATTTTGGGCTATTTTCTAAAATCCCATGGAGAAATCTCATTGCTTTTTTGTGGAGGGAACCCATGCGCAGCTTACTTCCGGGTTTTAGGACGCGTCTCTCGTCTCCTCTTCAAACACCATACACTTTTCGCGGCACACATACTTACAGCCAATCAGCTCTGAATTATGTGAGATGACGTATGGTGGGGATGGCAGCTCTATGCCCCAATGGTCATTATGTTTTTGCCACACACATTAAATAGGACAATACTCTGAGCATGCGCAGTGTAGGTTTTATATTCACCGTTCACTTAGACCAGGGGTCGGCAACCCGCGGCTCTAGAGCCGCATGCGGCTCTTTAGCGCCGCCCTAGTGGCTCCCTGGAGCTTTTTCNACGGAAATGTTATTGATCACCCCTCGATTATGTTCTCTTGTTAAGAAATGCAGTTTAAAGTAATTATGTCCTTCTGTTTACCGCATCATTTATGAGAGTACATTTCTTAACAAGAGAACATAATCGAGGGGTGATCAATAACATTTCCGTATTTATTTCTCCAAGTTATGTTTTTGTGTGCACTGAGTCGCAAACAGGCGTTTGTTAAATCATTTTGGCTTTAATCAATTTGTGAAAATGAATTCTTCATATATGATAAATGAGAGGTATCATTTTATTTATGGTATTATTCCCACATATTTCTCTCCATTCTTCCTTCTGCCAACGGTGTCACGATCACAGGTACAGATCAGAACACAATAGCATGACTCAGATACAACCAGTGTATAGCAATGTTCAATTTATTCAGGTCAGGGAGAGGCAGGGTCAAAACCAGGAAATCCGTCAGACAGGCAACCAAAACCAGACAGGGAGCAGGCAGGAACTCGAGATCCGTAAAAAGGCAGGCAGGGATACAAAAACCGGGCAGGACACAAATCTAGGCTAGAGACNTTAACACAACATATTCGAGGTGGTTTTAAATAACATATCCGTATTTACTTACGCCTGTTTGTGACTCCTCAGTGCACACAAAAACATAACTTGGAGAAATAAGTAAATACGGATATGTTATTTAAAACCACCTCGAATATGTTGTGTTAATGTTATGAAATGTTTTCTCATAAATTATGCGGTAAGCAGGAGGACAGAACTACGTCTAAACTGACGCCGTTTTGCATTTCAGGTTGTAGATACGAGCATGGTTTTATATACAATCACGTTTAATCGTGTTTTATGCTGTTTGCCAAGACTTGATAAGTCGCTCGTAAAACACAGGAGGTATGGAAACTAAGAACACCATATGTGGTCAATTGTACAGCTAATACAACACAAAACATTAGTTGTATTCCCATTAACTGGTGGATTATGGATATATAGTTGCTGATCGAAAGCTGGAACACAAACCACCAAATACAAACAAATTATTCAGATCCTTGTCGTCATGACTCCACTCCGGAGGGATTCCCCGATTATTTCTTACAGTTTCTCATCAAGGGGCGGGGGGTCTCCTGTCCCCGGTACAAACTCACTGCCTGAGGAAGGCTATGTGTACTTTTTTTGTCATTAACCTTTTTCGGACCACTTATTTATTTATTTTGGTGACGATATCCGACCTCCATGCTGCTACTCTGGTTCAAACTGCATCCAGCAAACTATATGATTTATCTCCACCTCCCCAAAATAACCAAAATCTGACATGGTGTGAGATATCTTTTTTAGCTGTTCTGTCGTCATTTCCTGCGATCTTCTTCATGCAGTCAGTAAAAATTAATATTAATACAGGGCGTTTCTTTTTACTATTTATAGGCAAATATGGGCGTTACGTGAAGCCCGCAAAAGCTGCGCCGCATTTCGAGTTGATTGTGATTTATAAAGGGAAACCGGCGCAGGATGTGCCGTACGCAAGTCCTGTGCCGGTACGCAGTCTTTTATCAATCGGAAAGTGTCGGTGCGTATTTATTTGCTTTGTCCTACGTAAGCAACCTTACGTCAATCCTACGCAAGGCTTTATAAATGAGGCCCCAGGGCTGGTCTACAAAGTAAAGAAAAAGTGGTTCTGAAATAGGCCTTTTGTAGTATCCAACACAAGACTTAATGTCTGATCAGATACTTATGGACATATTCTGATTTTAATCATAACTTTGCATGTATTTTTTTAGAAACATTAATGGGTACCACATAGTCAATTAATCGTATTTTAATCGCGATTACGGCTTGCAACGATTACGAAAACAACGTAATCTAAATAAAACGATTATCTTTATTCTTTTTGGTTTTTCAGTTGAATTATACTTAAAGTTCAGGGATTTTGAATATAGACAAAATCAAGTAGAGAAACTGCAGTTATTTTGATACATATTTACCGAATATCAATAAATAAGCTATGTTCCTCTCTGTGTTTGAATGTCCTGCAATTACATAACCCCTGGCGAAGGTGTGATGGACATGACATGAGTGATTGAAGTCAAATCATGAAGGTTAAACAGCGGAAGCAAGCGAGAAAGCAAGTGCTGTGTGAAACCTCAGCTATGCCTGTAAAATGCCAATTCGGAGAATTTTCGCTCGCTGAAGACATTTACAAAGACAAGTTTGTTAAAGATCCGCGGGTCATCCATACGGCCCGATGCAGAGCCTGGGGCAAATCAATAAAAAGTTCATTACCTTGATATGTGTCCCATCCCCTGCTGTGTTGGTTCATACATTTGAGGGAATTGAGACCTGAAAGGTCCTTGACTTCATTGCCTAAGACGGTGTGGAAACCATACTATTTATTTTGCGTGTGCAGGCACTGGCATACCCGATCTGTTTTTGGTTATCTGTGTGTATTTCTCCCTTTGCCAAAATACGTCATGTCCATCAGAGCAATGTCTCGGTTGTTTGTAGCCTCCAGATGTCA